ATCTCGCGAATTCTTATATGTTCTATCTTATATTCTTATCTACTATTAGTTTATCCACGACATAAAAAGATCATATATAATGTCATACATATAAAAATTTATAATATATAAAATATATAACATATAATATACAGGATGTCCCACTCAAAGTGGCCACCCCATTTAATTTTTTGAATTAAAAGAGATAGACCATAACAAATATATATGTCAAATTAAATGGTTCAAACTGAACTCTATTGTGAGCATAGTATTTGCTTATAAAAGCTATCTGTGCTAATGAACGAAGAAATATGCATAATTTTTTTATAACAATGTGGATATTTCGACACAATAAAAGTTGTAGCGCTGTTTAAAACGAATACGACTACCTTTTTATTTTCGGCCCTGCGATATAGCTAGCTTCTGACTCGTTAGATTGACATATATCATTTTGTCATATGATCATAATATTCGAGATAGAAGTTGGCCATATTGCAGGGCCGAAAATGAAAAGGTAGACGTCGCCCGCAATATTTTAAGCCGATAAAACTTGTATAATATGTGAAATATTTATATTAAGTCATACATATCGTTGTATTTATTTCAAACAGCGCTACATCTTTTATTGTCTCGAAATATCCACATCGTTATAAAAAAATTATGCATATCTCTCCGTTTGTTAACACAGATATAGCTTTTATAAGTAATATACTATACTCACAACAGATTTCAGTTTGAAACATTCAATTTGATATACATATATTTGTTATGGTATATATATGTTATGATATACAATTTGTTATATATATTTGTTATTATATTTGTATATGGTCTATCTCTTTTAGTTTAAAAGATAAAAGGAGTTGGCCACTTTTGGTGGGATACCCTGTAAATTTAATGATAACAGGTTTGTACGCAGAATAAAATAGCACAATGCCAAAAATTAAAAAATTTAAAGAGTTGTCACGCAGACAACAAAATCGCCGTTTATTACTAGCTGCACAAAATGACAATATTTCCATTAGCCTTCCAGAAAGGCTTGTTACTAACAAGCAAGCTTCTTCTTACATAGAATGCTCTCTCGAAAATCAAAATTGCAGTACAATACAACTGTTTCCTGAAGTAGAAATACAAAATATACAATCAGATGATATGGAGTCAGATAATAATATAGAAGATTCTAATTTATTATATAATAATAGAGACGAACGAAAAGGCACTTTACATGAACAGTTACATACCTGGGCTATTAAATATAATATTACTCAAAAATCTCTGACAGCTTTATTGTGTATTCTACAGAAAGAAGGTCACAATGATTTGCCCAGTGATGCTCGAACCTTGTTAGGAACACCCAAAAATACAATTATTCGAGAGTGTGGAGCTGGCCATTACTTTTATTATGGTCTGGAAAAGGCATTACGAGAAAAATTGAAATCTTATAAAAATATCAATAATAATATAATAGAAATTAATATTAATATCGACGGCCTACCTCTTACTAAAAGTTCCCAAAGCCAGTTATGGCCTATACTTGGTCAAATTTATAATATTCATGTCACGGAACCCTTTTTGATTGCTGCTTTTCACGGTTATAAAAAACCTACGCATGCACAAGATTTGTTAGAAGAATTTTGTGATGAATATCGCATCCTTCACGAGGAAGGATTTTTATTTGAAAATAAAAATTACCGTGTAACAATCAGAGCAATTATTTGTGATACTCCTGCCAAATCCTTTGTAACTGGCTCAAAAGGGCATAATGCATATTTTGGCTGTGGCAAATGTTTTTGCGAGGGTGATTATATTAATCACAAAATGGTTTTCTTGGATGAAAATGCCTCGTTGAGGACGGACAGCAATTTCCGCACTCGAGAAAATGAAGAACATCACATTTGCATTTCGCCTTTTGAAAACTTGGCTGTGGATATGATAAATAATTTTCCGTTAGATTATATGCATCTAATTTGCTTAGGAGTAATGAAAAAGATGCTGAATTTATGGGTCAAGGGACATCAAATGTCACGGTTACGTGCAGCACAAATACAAGAATTATCAAGAGATATAATAGAATTACGTGAATACATACCCATTGAATTTGCACGTCGCCCACGGGGTATTAATGAATTAGACCGTTGGAAAGCCACAGAATATAGAATATTTCTTTTATATTTAGGACCTATTATTTTAGACAAATATCTGAATGCGGATTATTTCCAACATTTTTGCGTTTTACATACTGCTATACGGATTTTATGCCACCCAGAAGATTGTTTTCGTAATAATTTATACGCAAATCAATTACTGCTTTATTTTGTCAAAATGTTTAAAATATTATATGGCAATGATAATTTAGTTTATAATATACATAATTTAATACATCTCAGTGAAGATGTAAAAAGATATGGCTCGCTTGATACGCTTGATGCGTTCCCATTTGAAAATTATCTAAAAAAGTTAAAACAAATGTTACGAAAATCAGAAAAACCATTATCTCAATTAAATAATAGGATTAATGAAAATGCAAGATTTGCAACTAATTCTCAAAATATTATTTCAAATGCACCATTGCTTTTAAAACCAAACATAAAACACTTACCTTTAGGATGTGTAAATTCGCACAAGCAGATCAAATTTAAAAATTGTATGCTAACGACAAAATCCGCAAATAATTGCTGCTACTTGAAAGATGGATCTGTTTTTTGTATTGAATATATTGGTTTCAAAGATGAATACCCTGTTATCTTGGGAAAAAAATGTATTGATCTTAGACCCATACCAGGATATCCATGTAATTCTCAAGATATGCAAATACATATAGCAAGCAAAGGAATGCATTTAGAAATAATTCCTGTGAAAGAAATAGATAAAAAAGCTTTAAAAATATCTTTCAATAATGTTTATTATACATTCCCTCTTTTACATTTATAACAGTGAGTATTGAACATTTTATGTTATCATGCTTACTTTGTACAAAGAAACATTCAACGGGTGGAATCAATATTTAATCCATATTATATAATCAGTATTTAATTTAGTATTATTTCAGATGTACTATGTTATATTTTGTGACGATTGGTGTTCGACAGTACCAAAACTTTGGGTGGATTTAAAAAATAAGACTTTTTATTGGCCACCTAAAGAAATTAATACTACAGGAGCCATAATAAAAAATATCGGTCCCAGTGATAACTGGAATATGGAGGTTTACCGGCGCATTATAGGACCATATAGTAATTATCAATTTACTATCGTATAATATATAATATAATATATAATGGCATATTATAATAATATGTTATATTACAATAAAATATATTTGTTGTATATGCGTTTTTTATGTGAGAATATGTATCATTTTTTTACAGAAACTTATGAAATAGCTCGTAAAATTGAAAAAGAAGCAGCAGACATTTCAACGTCGGAAGAAGGGAGATTCGAAAATCTTAGTCACTCATCAATACAAGATCTAAAAAAAAGATTAATAAAAAAACCACGGTTTCATGATGAGCTTGATGATGGCTATAATAATAGTAATTATTATTTATTGCTTTTTCATAGTTATAAGCCTTTTATACTAATTAAATATTATTACGGATTAATATTATATAATAATATTAATTATGATCAGTTATTAATTATTATTAATTATTATTATATAATAATGTTAATTATATTATATAGGTCATCTAACAAAAAAACCTCATCGGTCTTATGTTCGAGCATCCAGCAATATTAGTACTATTAATAATAACGCAGAATTGGACAGTATGTATACTTTCAGTTTTTTTCTTAATCTAATTCTCTTTAATTGTCCTTATTTTAATATTCAAGCTATTCATATTCAGCGATACTAGACATAAAATTAAAAAAGGAATAAAGAAACCATGATTTTATAATAAAATTGATAATTGTTATAATAAAAATAAATAAAAATAAAATCTATTATTATAAATCTATTATTGTTAATTAAATATTGTTACTGATTAATAATATAAATTATATCATATAGGTCATTTATCAAAAGAATCTCACCGTCCGTCAATGCCTGCTGCATCTTATGTTCGAGCATCCAGCAATATTGGTACTATTAATAATAACGCAGAATTGGACAGTATGTATACTTTCAGTTTATTTCTTCATCTAGTTCTCTTTACGTGTCCTTATTTTAATATTTCAGCCATTCATATTCAGCGATACTAGACATAAAAT